GTCAGATTTTAGATTATTTTTGTTAATTATAAATACATGTTTGGTCAATTTGTTGTTGATTACTCGTTCCCTGATTACTATTCACTGTTCTTAAATCTTATAATCTCAACAATTTGGTCAATTACTTATTGTTTTTTTTGTTGATTTCATGTGTCATTTGTGTTGGTCTTGGTCAATTGGTAATTTGGTTGGACTATTGGTGAATGAGTATTGAGTAAGTGGTTGATTTTAACCTAATTCCTAAATCCTAAAGGTGAGATAAAGTATCCTAAGTTCTTTATATGTAATTATGTATACACAAATTGTCAAATTCGGTTCTTTTTTTTCATTATATGTGAGAGGTTATGTATACAGTATTAGGTTAGGATATGTTTACCTTCCTAGTGTTTTCATCTTCAATGGTCAATATGTGTTGAATATTCCTGGAAGTGTTGTTTTGTGTGTAGTTCAGTAGTAAGTTAAGTTGTTTGAATACAATTTTGCAAGTATATGAAGTTATGAACTAATGAAAGGTCTCCCTGGTTTGTTATTTTTCCGTGTTTGTCCAAATGATTACTTGATTAGATGTTAGGAATTATGTTCAATGATCAAATTATTATTTCTTATTTCTAATATATGTTAATATGTACATGTGTTTATCTCTTGCAGTGCAATCAAAATCTTTTGGGACTTGGGAGTTGGGACTTGGGAGGACCAAGCATCAATAGCTAGAAGTAGTACTATCATCTTCACTCAGGTTATTTTGTTCCTTATCTTTTTTATTTTACTTATTTCAGTTCTAATATGTCTTCTAGGGTTAGAAAATATGATTATGGATGTCAAAAACGTAAAAAAAAAAGAAAAGAATTGAAGAGATAATTCAATCTCAAAAGGGATCTCTTGACAGGGCCGTCCATGGACCTGTTAAATGTGCCATTCAGAACAGGGCCCCCAATGTTTTGGGGCCCAAATTTTACAGCCCGTCTATTCTATAATTCTAATATAGTTCCATTTGGCCCAAT